TTGCAGGCGCCTCCTGGGGTGCTATGTTGCGCTTTTTGCACTCCCAGGGCCCGTTTTCTCGAACGCGAACCGTGGTTTAAAGTTAACTATTGTCCCTAGAAGAGGGAATTCTAGGTCACGTGACTGGAAGAGCAGGGGCGCCGAGGGAGGAGCAGTACCTACAAGCAAAATGGCCGCTACGTTGCTTAATGAGGGCTAATAGTTCTTCTTAGTTCTGCTGAACATTCATTTCGATCCGGCTGTTATATTAAGGACGCACCACCAACCCATTAGCACGTCAGGCAAAGCGGTAGTTCAGAGGGGCTACTAAACTAACCGACGGCAGCATTCCGCGAACGCATCACTCTTCAGCAGTCCGGGATCCAAGACATATGACGGTACATAAGCCTTGCAAGTGTTTTTATGGTGAGTAAAAAAATGTTTTGCGAACGAGTGTTGGTATATATTTATACAAACACGTTTAATTTGTTACATTATGCACGAAAACTCGTGAGCAGCGATTACTTCGCGAAGGAAGGGGGTTATCCTCGATAAAGTCTTCGTTCCGGGTGAACAACTGGGACATTGTACTGCTTTTTTGTTCGCAGTGCGCCGACAGTAATCCGACAGCATCGAGGTTTCTACATATCCCCGGTGGCCAGCAATTCAACGGTGACGAGAAGCTTAGCTCCTCGTCACCGGTGGATCGGTTGGGCAAAAGGAAAAGAGGGCAAACAATTGAAGTCACCAGGAATCAAAGAAACGTGCGTCGCAAGGAACAAAAAGGAGACTACAGCACCGGCGTTGCCAGACTGGAAGACACACGGGAAATGTATGCGTTGTTTATGGCGAAACATATTGAAGGAAATGTATCTTACATTTTCGAATATTCGTCGGCAAACCCTAGCATAGTAGCTAAAATTTCTCGTACCATCTGAAGTAAATAAATTGGTCTTCAAGTACAACATTACTACATTTTGACTTAAAATACCATACTAGATCGATAACAACCATCGGAAAAAGAGGATAAACAAAATGATTGGCTTGTTTCACCGATAGATGGCGCATCTTACTGCCCAATCAAAAATAATTACTGTTGTTCTATATCCAGCCGTTTATTACAGTACCTAGGTACTTTTTCCTTCCTAGGCACCGTGGTTTACCAAAATGGGTTTACCATCGCTTCGAGAAAACCGGCCCAGGAGACTTGGAAGAAGGAAGTGACGTCAACGACTAGAGCAAACGCAGATTGGATGTTGACAGAAGAAAACGAAATCAACATCTAATCTGCATTTGCTGCGTTGTTGACGTCACTCCCTTCTCCCTAGTCTCCTGGGAGTGCAAAAAGCGCAACATAGCCCCCCTGGTCGTCGCTGGCTGTCGCGCCGGGGCCAAGGCTGGAAACTAGTTTAGCCGCTTGTTTTTCTACAATGCAGTACTTTCCTGCCAACAGAAAACAAGTGCGCATCTAATATTACTCCTATCAAAATAATACTACTTTTACGCAGCGTTAATTTCTTCCATTATTTTTACTCCTAGAACACTGCTATCGAGATTACACACTTGGTCTACCGGAGCGAGCGTAGTGTGCTCCCCGAACTCACTTCATTGGAAGTGTGTTCTTCGGGCAGGGCTGGGGATTGAGCTCAAGATCACTGGGTTCTTCTCCAGCGCGAGCTTTCTCTCCACGTACTCCGATCTGGTGGGCGCTAGCCCCCTCGGCCGCCGAAACCCCTTAATAAAGACACATTAAAAAATTAGACGTTTGCAATTCTCTGTAATGCCGAATTGGAGCGCAGCTCTTCAGGAGGAGGGGGGAAGGGCACGAAGGGGAGGGTATGCAGCTGCTCCCCCTCCGTACCCTCCCATCCTCCTCTCCTGCTCCCATCCCACTTAGCGTAAAAATTTCGCTAAATTTCCCGCTAAATTAAGCCGGGAAAATTTCCCGCTGAATTGACGTGTGTCGTCACATGACACGTCACCTGAAATTTTAAATGTGACGTTACGTGACTTCAAACGGGTAAAATTTTCCCTCCAAATTTAGCAGAAAAATTTTCAACCAAACTTAGCAAAATCTTTTACTGCAAAATTTAGCGGGAGAAGTTTACCCTCGCGCCGTCACACGTGACGTCACCTGTGACGTCATTTTGGGAAACAGCCCTTAATGCAACGCGCGGTCATGCCGACGCCGCTCAACTCAGAAACGGGTTCCTAGGAGCTCTAAAACAACGATACATTAAAGGGATACGGAATCGAAACTTGAAATATAGAGAAAACATCAAGAAATGAGTTCAATATGATCAGCTAAGCCTGTAATGAATAATCGCACGGTCGTATTTTGAGCAGATGGCTATATTTTATGCTCTAAATGCCGCGATTTTGGCGAGCGCTTCAAAATCAGCCATGGAGGAGCGCGATGCATCTCGGGAGATCCGGCAGACGCCTGGACGTCATCATGCCTCGGACGACCAAGCGTACCGTAGTGACGAGTTTTGCCACTTGGAGGCGTCAACGCGTTACAATCTCGCTTTGTCGAAGTACCAAAGGGCTGTAGAGATCGCGGGGCCAGCACGCGCACCAAACCTGAGAACAACCGAAGCACGCGTTTGCACGTCGCGCGAGAGCTGAAACCAAGGTGGCTCACTTCGTTTTGGCTCTTTCCACCAAGACGCCTCGGTATTGCGTTCAGGCCTAGGCAATCTATACCAGTGAGCGGACATACCGCTGCGGCGCTGCTTTCAGAGGCATGTTGTCGTCACGACATTCCATTGAAGCTTCATAACCAACTACCAGGTGGTTTTTGATTATCGTTTAATTCACTTTAAAATATGTTTTCTTGCGTTTTCTAGCGCAATATTTATGTTTCTGTGGTTGTGCTGCTACCTGCGTCGTGTTGAAACAAAGAAATGAGCTCCAGAATTTGGTTTCCGTACCCCTTTAATGAACAATTTTACGCCAATGGGATGATTCTCATCCCATTGGCGTAAAATGATATTTATTAATATCCTTAAAGGGATACTGAACTAAAGAATTTAGTGCCCGTAATAAGTGGCGCACGTTCTTTCCACCAGCCAGCAGCCGCCGGTGTGCGCGAGCACACGCAACAAAAATGACGTCACAGACCTCCATTCGCGGTTGAGAGGACAATGAAATGCATGGGCTTCGGACTAAAGGAGAATAAAGACAGGCTTTTCATCTCTACAAGTGAAAGCTACGTGCTTGTTAGACCAATTCATCGCTTACTTTTTACACCAGGCACCACTGTGTATATGAAAAACTTGTCTTTATTCTCCTTTGGTCCGAAGCCCATACATTTCACTGTCATCTCAACCACGAATGGAGGTCTGTGACGTCATTTTTGTTGCCTGTGCTCGCGCACACCGGCGGCTGCTGGCTCGTGGAAAGAACGTGAGCCACTTATTATGGACACCAAATTCCTTGGTTCAGTATCCCTTTAACGCTTACTAGTTACAGGTTAAGAAAAAAGCTGCACATCGATATGTATTCATCCGCCGTCAACTTACCGCCAATCGCGCCCGAGCGTCCTCGTGACGTCACGGCCTCTGCGGACCAATCCTGATTTTTTTCCGGACGAAAGCCTCCAACATGGCAGCCTGGACCTAGCAACAGGACACCAGCATTTTTCAGCGAATATGCTGGTCTTGCCACGGTATTTTACTAACGCGAGGCCATGCCGCGAAGTCTCAACGGTAACGACTTGCGTTCGCAGTAGCTTTTGTGCGACGACGTGATGATCCGGCGATGGTATCGCCATCGGAAAGTTCGAAGCGGACGCAAGGCTTAGCATCGCTGGGCCGCTCGTCTGACGTCGTCTTCTTTTTTTCCTCTCGTTGGAGGTCTGCGTTCCCTGCCTCGAGTCGCCTGTCAATACAGTGCCGGTATCGCCGTTTTTCTTCCCTGTGGACTCCGTGGGGCGAGATGAAAATGCAGCGCTCATCATCCAGTGATAACAACAGTATGTATGAGCGAGATTAGCAGCACGAGTGAACTGCCGGCACCCCCAGCACCGGGTTCCTTTGCTAGGCATTGCCTGCGCCCTCGCTTGCAACGGTGGATAAATAAACGAAGTGTAACTACTGAAACGACGTTGTACGGCGTCATTCACTCAGTTGTGAACCGTGCAACTCCTGCCAAGTTTTCGTCGCTATCAATCAAATGGTAAGTGACGATTGCTATAGCGGCCTCCTTTGCACCTTCGATTGCATGTAGGGAGGATAAAACCAGTGGTATGCACGATACCTACCTTTTCCCGGTGTCGTTTGAACTGACATTCTTTGTGTTAGCGCTCATCCGAGAAAGCTATAAAACATTAACAGTACTAAAAGAAACGAGCTATAGAAGTAAACAGACAAAGTGCAAAGCTTGTTAAATAGCGCGAATCTTGGCAAGTGAAAGTTAGCTCTCCCCATTTCTAACACGAGTCGCTGTTCTCGTAATGCTCGGCATTACGAGAATGTAAACCATAAAACTCGGCATGATAGTAGGAGACTGAGGTTGTAGGCAAGCCCTATAAGCTCAGCCTCCCTATTGCACCGCACAATTTGTGGATTGGGGTGATATCCATACAGATATCAATACGGACTCTCCGCTTCCGCTCTAACTGCGCTTACCACAGGCGGTGACCCAGTTGGTCGAGGTGCATGGAGGAACTCCAAGCTCTGAGTTGCACCTTCTAAGCCTTTGGGCCAGCCGATTCGAGGAAGTGGAACAGTGCTGAGGGATTGGAAACTCTATGCTGCTCACTTACGGCCCAGTGGAATATGTAAGGCAGACCTTACAGACCTCAAAAAGCCTTGACCAGTGCAATGAGGTAATGAAGCACAACATCACGTCAACAACATGAGACACGGGAGACGTGTACGACACGCATCCGATTTTACAGCATATGAGTGGTCCTTAAAAGGACCGTTTTGTTTTTAGGGTTGATCCCCCTTGATGTTGACATCACGGGGCGTCGAGGGGCCCCACACTGGACATGTCACTCTCAGAAGAAGTGTCACCTTCATTAAGAGCGATGACGATTGGCTCGATGTGAGCACTTGTCGTTCCTCCTTGTTTGAAGCTTTCTTCCACTTTGACGACATGCCTCACAGCGTTGCACCAGTTACTAGCCGTGACCTGCTCAGCTTCTTCTTTGAGGAGTCTCTCAACGTCGCCAATCTTGAACATTGTGTTTCGGGCTGCGACACGATTCTTGATCTGTCCCCAGATGAGTTCAATTGGGTTGAACTCACAGTGGTAGGCTGGAAGCCTGACCACTGTGCAACCAACCCTTTCTGCAGCAGTGTCCACACGGTACTTCACGTACTGCGGCTTGACCGACGACACGATTTCAAGGAGCTGCCTCTTCAGCATCTTGGCGTCCCAAGCAATACCTTTCGACGTGAGCCAGCCCTGGATGAGCTCCTTCCGGGAACTGGTCGTCGGCACCGCCTCTAACCGCCGGGATTGGTACGGGGCATTGTCCATTACGATGACACTCCCCGTCGGCAGTTTTTGGAGGACATCGTCGAACCACTTTTCGAACCGAGGGCCGTCCATTTCCTCGTGGTACTCGCCGGTTTTTTTGCCGCGGAAGACGTCCAGGCACCCAGGGACAAATCCATCTTCGCTGCCGATATGCGTAACGATGAGGCGCTGGCCCTTTACCAACGGCTGCTTCAGGCCCGTTGTGAGAACTCGCATGAAGGCGTCGTGGGACGAGGTCACAGTGCTGTCCACCCACACCGTCGAGGCAGTGTGCCCGGCCGTCACCCACGTCTCGTCGAGGTAAAAAATCTGGCGGTTCTCATGCCTGTGACGCGTGATGTCCCGCAAGTACGTCTGCTGCCAAGCGACGATGTCGTCTCGCTCGACCATGAGCGAGTTTCGAGCCCTCCTTTCTCGCCTGAAGCCGATGTCAAGAAGGAGACGACGCACGGTCCACGCCTGCAGCGAGGGGAGTTCTGGGCTTGTGCGGAACTCGGCTGCTATCTTTTCAACCGTGGGCATCTCGTTCCGGCGAAAAAACCGATGCACACACGATCTTAAGGCACACAGCACGAGGTCACCGTACTTGGCAGTACGCCGCTTCTTGCCTGCATTTGTTGGGCGCTTCCGAGAGGGTGACGCGAGTTGCCCATCATTCGCACTTGCCTCCTTCTTGATTGCAAGCACACTGGACAAGCTGACACCTGACAGTTTGCTGACTGCCTTGCAGGCCTCAATCACGTCGAGGTCGGGCTCCGTATGCCGCATCCGAACGTACATGTTCAGAAGGAGCTCTCGTTGGCCGCTGTTCAAGATGTGGCCGCTCTTGTGCTTCTTGAACCAGCGTTTTGGCGTAGACGGTAGGTCTCTCGACCAAGAAGAATCCGAAGAATCACTTTCCGCAGCTTCCTCGTTGGGATTCATGACGGAAAACATGTGGAACACACAACCGGAGAACGACTTTCCAAATCGCGAATTCGTCGAAACCGGAAACGCAAAAGATTTTCTATTCAACAAATCAACTAAACATACACTATTCATCTATAAAGTATATAAAACTAAGAAAAATAAGGTAATTTGCATTAGTTACGAAATAATAATGTCCTTTCTTTTTTTTTAGTTTTTCAAAAAAGTCTGGTTCTCAACTACCGAAACCGAAACCACTGGAAGACAGAAGTTCAGACAGCTATTTAGACAGGAAGTCAGTTAGAAGGCGGAACATTAGACATGACCCCTGTCCATTAATACTGAACCCGTGCGTGGACAATAACGTATCTCAACTTCTTTAAGTATCGTGAATAAACTAAATTATTTATGTATTGGCCTAGAAGACGTTTCTTTGAGAGGGATAAAACGGCGTTGCTAGGGAGCTATTTTCTTTGACGGCGTAGGCATTTCAAGCGGCGCTTTACGCTTGTGGGCGGAGCTCCAGCTTTTTTCTTAACCTGTAACCGACGATCAATCAAGACTGAGACTAGTTCTAGTTCTCGCTCATTACACGCAGCTAGAAAATGGTACGTTTGGGCGCGAGCATTTTTTATAGACCAATGGATCCATTCTGCTCTCGTTCCTGACCCACAAGCACTTGCAATACATTTCTCTTCGCCGTGACTTCGCAAACAGCCAACGCTACGGCCACCTCGAGTGAATCAGATGAACGGAGGCAAATCACCTGACAGCGCAAAGGTACGCGGGAGAGCGTGTAACCCAAGCAGTCGGGGAAGATGGGAAGGAGAAACTCCCCTCTTCTTCGGACCCTCTTCTATGTGTCCCAAACGTCGCTTTTGTCTCCCTCGGAGATGAGCCCGTCGCTCATAATTCGTGCAAAAACCGGCTCGCCTCTCTCTCCCTACCGCCCGGAGCTTTGACAGCACTGCACGTAACTAGCGAGGTAGACTCCAGTCACGTGACTCCCTCCGATGCCCTGATTGGCTCGCTGGGACCGCAGCTTTCGTCGTTTGCCAAGTTGCAGCGAGGCGGAGTATGCGCTTGCTCAACCCGAACCACACTTCAGGCTCGGATGGATTCTGTCCCGTATCACTGGCCACGTCTTCTTTTCGTATAAAGTACCACAGGGCCGCCGGCATTGTCCGCGTCTTATTGGCTGGGCGCAATCTTCTTTGAGTGCGTGCCCCATAAGGAGGCCTTCTCCCCGCTGCCCAGAGGTGATATCGTAATGCGTTTAGCTTTTACCAACCTCTTTACGTATATACACGCTATTCTTTATCTCACATTTTCTTCATATATATTTTATTGGATGTCCCATAGAGGGTATGGAGGTATATATGAAATCCTCGGCGATGGGGATATAGGAAAAATTGTTTTTGCCTTTTTTTATTTTAGTTTTTGTTTGGGGACATTGTTTTGGTTGCTCTTCTCTCGCGCTGTCGGTGAGGCTATACTGTACTCACATTTTTTTTCTTTTGGCCTCTGGAGATTAGAAAAACAGAAGGATAGGACAACACTGATCTCTAAACAGTGCTGAGGTTTATTTCACAAAACAGAACCTTACTTAGACAACCAGCTGTAAATAAACTTGAATAACCAGTTAGCCGGCACCCTTATATCAACTTCAACCTGTATATAATGTAAATGATGCGATGTCGCGTACACTGTCTTTCACCGCACAATGGACCCCAGAGGGCGCTAAGAGCCATGAAAGCCTAGAGTAAGTGTATATGCTATGTTGCGGAGCAGGGTATCACAATGGTGCTCCGAGGGCGGCCATGTTGGATCCAAGACCACACTGCGGGAAGCGATCGTCGCTTCTGCAGGAGACTCGGAGATGTGGACGCAAAGCTGTGAGGAGGCGTGCCGCGGCGTGCGGAGCAGAGAACAAATAGTGCGGCAACACGCAGCGCGTGCGCCGTAGTCCTGTCATTTGGCTCCTGTTTCTCTTTAGGCCTTCGGTAGAACTACTTAGCAGCCGACGGAAATTTCGTCCCTGCTCCCCGAGTGGTAACTTTAGTGCACTACTACGCTTCTCACGCGTTCAAAGTCTTTCTGAAAAAATTACCATTTAGTGGTTTTCGATGACGCCCATCAGGTTTCTAATTGAAATCATATGTCTATTTTCAATACTTAAAAAGTTAATTAACGAATTTGAATTAATTAGCCACCTAATCGTTACAATTAGCCTCCTATACTATCTCCCCTTGATTGTATAACTCACCTGCACAAACCGCATCAGTGTAACTTTCACGGCTTTTCTTTTTTTAATACATCTGTTAAGCTTAAAAAAGAAAAAAAAAAGACCCTGTATATTTACTATATTCCTAATAGTGACATGAAATGAAAAATAATTTTTATTTTTATTTTCACTTTAGTCGAGGTCTGGACGTCCTGGCACTATCTGGCGGCAAAGAAGCATTATAAACAAATAACCAGATTCGAAACACGAGCACAAACAGAATCGCTCATTTCTCTGCACTGATTGGTAAGACTGTAACCGCTACAAAAAAAAAAGGTATGGAATTACATTTACAATAGACCGATCTCACCATCCAGTTTGACCACGCCACCGACGCCGGAATGCATCGAGGGCACTTTAGTCTTTCTGCACGTGCCCCAACCTTGTTGGAGCTATGCGCGCGTAGAGCACAAAACGGCACGAGGCGTCTCAAGCACATGCCGTTTGCCTCCTGTGAACTAAAGTTATGGCGGCGTCACGCATGCGCTCAACGCTTGGTGAGATCGGTCAATTACCTGATGCTAAACTGTAACTCATTACAGTTACAATTATCCTTCCAGGTAAATAAGTGACCGTTACCTCAAAAAGCGATCCGTTTAAAGCGCACATGAAGGCACCCTAGATCCGTTGCTTTCGCTGTGTTACTTCCAACCTTTACGCAACAGTGTTATGGAAGCGTGTATTGTTGCCGCCAGCCCCCTTTTGTGATCTTGAGCAACAGCTGGCTCTGCAAAGGTGTCGTGGGACATTTTGCCTCGTTTCTAAGTGAAGATGTCCGCCGCACTGAACCAACATCATCTAGAGTAGAGGAGCAACACCTCCTAGAAACTAAGGCCGTAGCGCTCTATTCGCGACGTCGCAAAGGAAGGCCATCGGGGGCGCGCGTCGAAGCGAAGGCAACGCGCGTGGATCGACCGTCGTAACGCGCTTTTAGTCACATACGCGTGTCTTATTAGCTAAAATGAAAGCTGCACATAGCATGGGGTCCCGAAAACATTTTATTACACGGGCAAAGCATTACACCGCTAAATAATCGGTACGAAATGGCACGAGGTATGCGTATAAATCATTTATGGTCACGCAAATATCGCTGAGTCACGGAAGTATTGCTGTAGGAATGCATATTTTATACAGACGAAATGGCAAGATCCGCAGTGATTGGACACAGCAAAACAGATCAGTTAAAAATCGGGTAGACGTAGTCAACGCGGACACGTCTAGACAACTGTCACTTATGGTGTTTTCGCACGAGAGATCTTTATCCCCGGAGAAAACCGAATACGTCATAGAGCTGAGAGAAGGAAACGACACGAGAAGGACGAGGCAGTGGAGAAAATCCAAGCGACCATTCGCAGGACAGAGTCGCATGTAGTTGAGTCGCCGGAGTTTTTCTTTTGGGAAACCTGTTGGCGACTTTCGGGGGCTCATTCAACAAAAGGCAGGGAAAAAATAATAAAGAAAAGGCATCCCACACTTGAAAGCTATTCATCATTATCCCTCTCCAAAAGCACGGGGACAAAAGAGGGGGCCCGATCGCTCCGACGGATATCGACGGAACGGCGGATATTCTGCAGGTCTGTCACAGATTCTCTTCGGGCCCTTGCGAGCATGCCGCGAGCTCAGGGGATCAGCGAACATCCGTGACGCGGTGCACGTGACCTCAAAACTCGATGACGTTCATTCTTCTCCTCGGGAAGAAACTCCGTCGTGCGAATACATCATTACGATCAGGTAAGCGATGTAATCCCGAGCAGTCACTGAATTCTTGCATTATACCCCGGCCACCTGGCAAAAGTAATGTAATTTTTGATCGAATGACATTATGGGGTCGACAACTCAGCTTGCGACGCTCGTATAATCACTCAAGACTGCGAGCTGATTAAATCCAGTATTAAGTAATGAAAATAAATTAACTTTGCCGTGTGGCAGGGGTACTAAACTTACTATTTACAGTCAACTAATTTACTTCTCCCTATGGGCTCGAGCTGTCTTATAACAAAAAAATATTATTTTGTATGCAATAATA